ATAATTAGGAGATGGAATGCATTTACTAACTTATGAGAAGTGATTATTATGTAAAAATATATCTCATGGTGTTAACAGTTTTCGAATGCGGTGTCAAATAAGTGATTTCCGGCGTTTTTTTTTTGGTAAAACACGTAAAATAATAAAAACATAGAAAAGCGCTCATAAAATTATTGGAAGATAGAAGATATTTGCTAACCTATGAGAACTGATTATTATGTAAAAATATACTTAGAATCTCATGGTGTCAACAGTTTTTGAGTCTGGTGTCAAATAGGTGATTTCCGGTGTTTTTTTTTTTTGATAAAATACTAAAATATTTAAAACATAGAAAAGCGCACGTAAAGTCATTGGAAGATAAAAGATATTTGCTAACCTATGAGAACTAATTATTATGTAAAAATATACGTAGAATCTCATGGTGTCAACAGTTTTTGAGTGCGGTGTTAAATAGGTGATTTCCGGTGTTTTTTTTTTTGATAAAATACGTAAAATATTTAAAACATAGAAAAGCGCACGTAAAGTCATTGGAAGATAAAAGATATTTGCTAACCTATGAGAACTGATTATTATGTAAAAATATACGTAGAATCTCATGGTGTCAACAGTTATTGAGTGCGGTGTCAAATAGGTGATTTCCGGCGTTTTTTTTGATAAAATACGTAAAATAATTAAAACAGAAAAGCGCTCCTAAAATTATTGGAAGATAAATGATATTTGCTAACCTATGAGAACTAATTATTATGTAAAAATATACGTAGAATCTCATGGTGTCAACAGTTTTTGAGTGCGGTGTTAAATAGGTGATTTCCGGTGTTTTTTTTTTTGATAAAATACGTAAAATATTTAAAACATAGAAAAGCGCACGTAAAGTCATTGGAAGATAAAAGATATTTGCTAACCTATGAGAACTGATTATTATGTAAAAATATACGTAGAATCTCATGGTGTCAACAGTTATTGAGTGCGGTGTCAAATAGGTGATTTCCGGCGTTTTTTTTGATAAAATACGTAAAATAATTAAAACAGAAAAGCGCTCCTAAAATTATTGGAAGATAAATGATATTTGCTAACCTATGAGAACTAATTATTATGTAAAAATATACGTAGAATCTCATGGTGTCAACAGTTTTTGAGTGCGGTGTTAAATAGGTGATTTCCGGTGTTTTTTTTTTTGATAAAATACGTAAAATATTTAAAACATAGAAAAGCGCACGTAAAGTCATTGGAAGATAAAAGATATTTGCTAACCTATGAGAACTGATTATTATGTAAAAATATACGTAGAATCTCATGGTGTCAACAGTTATTGAGTGCGGTGTCAAATAGGTGATTTCCGGCGTTTTTTTTGATAAAATACGTAAAATAATTAAAACAGAAAAGCGCTCCTAAAATTATTGGAAGATAAATGATATTTGCTAACCTATGAGAACTAATTATTATGTAAAAATATACGTAGAATCTCATGGTGTCAACAGTTTTTGAGTGCGGTGTTAAATAGGTGATTTCCGGTGTTTTTTTTTTTGATAAAATACGTAAAATATTTAAAACATAGAAAAGCGCACGTAAAGTCATTGGAAGATAAAAGATATTTGCTAACCTATGAGAACTGATTATTATGTAAAAATATACGTAGAATCTCATGGTGTCAACAGTTATTGAGTGCGGTGTCAAATAGGTGATTTCCGGCGTTTTTTTTGATAAAATACGTAAAATAATTAAAACAGAAAAGCGCTCCTAAAATTATTGGAAGATAAATGATATTTGCTAACCTATGAGAACTAATTATTATGTAAAAATATACGTAGAATCTCATGGTGTCAACAGTTTTTGAGTGCGGTGTTAAATAGGTGATTTCCGGTGTTTTTTTTTTTGATAAAATACGTAAAATATTTAAAACATAGAAAAGCGCACGTAAAGTCATTGGAAGATAAAAGATATTTGCTAACCTATGAGAACTGATTATTATGTAAAAATATACGTAGAATCTCATGGTGTCAACAGTT